TGACACTGTCAACCTGTGTTTCAAATCTGTGACCCATTTGGGCTCACTAGTAAGTGTAGCTTTTGCTGACTGCAATGGTTAGAGTAACTTGGGTTGCAGAAATAGCTTCAGGAAGTGTGGGTGTATTTTTTTTTAAACATCAGTCATATTGTTCCTGCTAATTACACTGGCCATATTAATGGCACAGACTGTTCATTTTCAGGCTCTGTTGGAAAGATTACCCAGAGAGGCGTTATTCCTCTCAGTGTAGTGTCAGATGTCACCCTGTGGGATATTAAAACCAAGTTGAGATGGTGTTGAAAAATATTTTCTTTTACTGCACAGTAACGTGTGGAGCACTAGACAGCATTAAATAGAAATCCCATTGCTGAAGAAATGTTAATGCAAAAGCTGCCAAATGGGAGAGATTTTCCATAATTCGCTGTTAAATATAAGACTTCAGGTTCACAGTACGTGCTGTCCTCTAATGAACAACTCTAATGAGAGCAGACAAATCAGTGTTTCAGAACTATACTAAAGACAAACTTTGAAAGGAATTTTTTTTGGTTTAATTTAGTTTTAAAATACAAACACTAATTGGCTTTAAATAAAACAAGAGAGAATCCGGTAGATATATGATATTTTTGAGCAACAAACCCAGATCTCAAGCAGTCAGAGAAACAGGCTCCCCTTTTATAAGGTAATTATGATTTAGTATTTACTGTCTCCCTGTTGAGTCTGTGTATTGCCTTTAAAGTAGCTCTGGGATGAATGTCAAAAATGGGATTTACAGTCGAACCTTTTCAATATGTAAACTGCACAGTATGTATTATTTTTCGAAGTAATATTTCTTCCACATTTTGATGATGTTGGGTATTTTTTTCTGAAACAGCGCCTATATATTATTGCCTGTGAAAATGTTCCTGCATCTTTAGAAAATGATTATTTTGGAAGTACTTTTGAGGGGTTAGGTAGCCATAAATACTTCACCAAACCTCAAGGACTTCTGTCTTTCAACGCTCACTTCTTCCCATCATTTAGAAATCAGTTTCAATTGACTAAACTTGATCTACATAGAAGATGTTCAGCAATAGCTCTCATTTACTTCAGTGGAAACTTACTTGTTACCAAAATGCCGAATGATAGTAGCTTATATTACATGTATGCGCTCTTCTTTATCCCTATATAGCTTAAGAGAAAGGGTGGCTCATACTGCTGGTGAACTCTAAAGAGCTTGTTCTTTGTTTCAGAGAAATGTTACCCTCAGTGTAAGGCAGGGGTGGGCAAAAGCCTCTCAGTGTGCCGGATCTGGCCCATGAAGCGGTTCCAGGCCCTGCCCCCCAAAGGGCATGTGCAACGTGTGGCACATGTGCCGTGGGAGAAGGAGCTCAGCCCCGCCACTCCTCCCCTCACGCAGCCGCCTGGAGGCTGGTGGTGCCGCTACCGTGGCCATGTGGTCCGGGGCCAGCCCCAGGCCGCGTGGCTATAGCAGAGGTGCCTCCAGTGCCGGCCCTGGGTCACAGCCCCTCCAGTCTCTGGGGTGGCGCCTCCGGGGCCAGCTCCAGGTTGCATAGCCATATCAGTAGTGCCTCCGCAGCCACGTGGTCTGGGGCCAGTCCTGGAGGCTGGCCCCAGGCTGTGTGGCCATGGCAGTGCTGCTTCTGGGCCCTGCCCTGGCTCGTGGCACCTCAGGTCTCTAGAGCAGCCTGGGGCTGTGTGGTCGTGGTGCCTCCGGGGCCAGCCCCAGGCTGTGTGGCCATGGCAGCGGCACCTCCAGGG